CACCACCTTCCCTACCCTTCACCACCTTCCCTACCCTTCACCACCTTCCCTACCCTTCACCTGCTCTTCACCATAGGCCCAATAGGTCGACTTTGTCCATGTCTCTTTCCTAAGACCCAGGCGACTGCCCCTCAAACGTTGTTAGATAGATTGAGAGATACGGACATCCTTATCATTAAAGCTATTTCACACTGCAGTAATACGAATCTTCCTTGACTTTGTAGGTGGTGGTCATGTCCAAGTTTCACAAAGCACTTGGGCCATGCATCAACACTTCCAGCCCAACTATGAAACACTGCCAACCTCGCTATATTTTATCCATCTGTGATATTGACTTTATTTGCATATGTTTACCCTTCATGGTATATAGAATTATTTCTATATTTTTGTGTATTAATTTATTTATTCAAAAATTTCTGATTCAAAATGAATTAGAAAATGAATAAGTTCATTAATTTATTGATGTTGATGACTGGGTTGGTGATGGTAGGGATGGTGCAAGTGTGGATGACAAGCCAGGAAGCGGAGAGACATACCCACCTGCATCTCCTTCGGCTACAGGTTCTTGAGTGGCACAAGAACTAATATAGCCTCCTTCACCTGCTGAGGCAGCTGGCCGTCTTCCTCCACCTCCTCCCGCCTGGGATTGGCTGTGATGAATCGCTGCTCGACGGTGACGTGGAGCTGGAGCCTTTCTGGGATAGTGTGCCCTTCGTGGGCACATTCCTGCGGCACCAGCAGACTCTCCGGCTGGTGAGGGGTCTGAAGGACTTCCTGGTGCAGGTCGGAGAGGTGCCTGCAGCGCAGCCTATTGCAATCTGGAGTCGTTGGGAAATTCTCCCAATTTCTTTGGTTATCTTAATATTTTTGTTTATTAATGCCTGGCCGCGACGTGTGGCCCGTCCTCGGGACCGTGACTGCATCGGTGTACAGCACAAATTGGCTCTCACCGCTCCCGCAACCCTCTGAGCCACGACATGATGCCACAACCCTGGGAACAACCCTCTGAGCCACGACATGATGCCACAACCCTGGGAACAACCCTCTGAGCCACGACATGATGCCACAACCCTGGGAACAACCCTCTGAGCCACGACATGATGCCACAACCCTGGGAACAACCCTCTGAGCCACGACATGATGCCACAACCCTGGGAACAACCCTCTGAGCCACAACATGATGCCACAACCCTGGGAACAACCCTCTGAGCCACGACATGATGCCACAACCCTGGGAACAACCCTCTGAGCCACAACATGATGCCACAACCCTGGGAACAACCCTCTGAGCCACGACATGATGCCACAACCCTGGGAACAACCCTCTGAGCCACGATCTCAGGATAGAGAACCATCAGGAGAAAGTGCCAAGTAATTAAGACAATATAGCATTGAAAGGGATCAGGATAAGAATTTGGGATGGGACTGAAGGATGGAATGGTGCCCAACCACTTGGAGGGTCGGGGATTGAACGTCGACCTGCATGGAAGGAGACCGTCGCTATACCGTCCACCCCAAGTGGTTGGGCACACAGCGAGGAAGAAGCACAAGTGAATGACAATTGTGGGAGCAGCGGTGACGGCTGCCAAGGTACTGTGTCATGATGAAAAGTGTTCTCGATGGTTTCGTTTGGCCAAAGTGAATGTTATTGGGACACGCTGTGTGTGTGTGTGTGTTTGAAATTGAAATTGAAATGAGTTGTTTGAGGTAAAATACACACAAAGGGATGAGGTAGCTCAAGCTATTCTCACCCCGTTCAGTACATCGTGTTAATATATACATAGACACACATCACTCACCTAGTTGTACTTGCGGGGGTTGAGCTCTGGCTCTTTGGTTCTGCCTCCCAACTGTCAATCAACTGGTGTACATAATCCTGAGCCTACTGGGTTCTATCATATATACATTTGAAACTGTGTATGGAGTCAGCCTCCACCACATCACTGTCTAATGCATTCCATTTGTTAAAAACTCTGACACTGAAAAGTTCTTTCTAACCTCCCTGTGACTCAGTTGGGTACTCAGTTTCCACCAGTGTCCCCTTGTTCATGTTCCCTCTGTGATAAACAGTTTATCTTTATCTACCCTGTCAATTCCTCTGAGAATTTTGTAGGTAGTGATCATGTTTCCTCTTACTCTTCTGTCTTTCACTGTCGTGAGGTGCATTTTGCGCAGCCTTTCCTCGTAACTTGTGCCTCTTATTTTTGGGACGAGCCTTGTGGCATACCTCTGAATTTTTTCTGGCTTCATCTTGTGCTTGACAAGGTACAGGCTCCATGCTGGGGCCGCATACTCCAGGATTGGTCTTACATATGTAGTATATATGACTGTCCCGGCGTCGTCAGGAAGAAGACGCCGGGAATCGAACCCCAGTCAACAGGATTGAATGTCCAGCGTGCTCTCCACTCAGCCACTAGCATCTACTCTGTGTGCGGATTTTTATGTGAGCTTCAGGAAACAGGTTTGGTGTTATATCAACTCCTAGATCTTTCCTCACTGTCTAGTTTCGTAACCTTACATTTACTCGGGTTGAACTTTAGTAGCCATTTGTTGGACCATTCATTCAGTTTGTCTAGGTCATCATGTAGCCTCGTACTATTTTCCTCCGTTTTAATCCTCCTCATAATTTTTGCATCATCAGCAAACAATGAGAGGAACGATTCTATATCCTCCGGGAGATCATTTACATATATCAGAAACAGTGCAGGCCAAAGACTGAACCCTTTGAGACTCCACTGGATCCTTGCCAATCTGAGGCCCCACCACAGAATGCCCAACCACTTGAGGGTGGATGGTAGAGCGACGGTCTCGCGTCATGTAGGTCAGCGTTCAGTCCCCGACCGTCCAAGTGGTTGGGCACCATTCCTTTCCCCCGTCCCATCCCTACATCCCTAAACCTTATCCTGATCCCTTCCAAGTGCTATATAGTCGTGGTGGTTTGGCGTTTTCTCCTGATAATTCCTTTCCTAACCACAGAGTGGATGCTGGTAGCTGAGTGGAGAGCACGCTGGGCACGTAATCCTGTGGACCGGGGTTGGAGTCCGGCGCCGGCGAGAAACAAAATACAGTTTCTTTCACCCTGATGCCCCTGTTACCTAGCAGTAAATTGATACCTGGGAGATAGACCAGTGTTACGGGCTGCTTCTTTGTGTGTGTGTGTGTGTGTGTGTTTGATAAAAATAGTTAGTAGTTAGTAACAGTTGATTGATTGACAGTTAAGAGGCTGCCGAAAGAGCAGAGCTCATCCCCCGCAAGCACAACTAGGTGAGTACAACTAGGTGAATACAGACCAGATGAAAAAACAAATCTTGTAGCCAATTACTGCCACTATATTATGAGGCAACAATTGAACAGTTTGTTAGCATATAAATTCGTCATTGCCTCTCACATCAGCAATGGTCTCATTGACACCAAATTGCAACTGCAAATTTCCAATGTTATTCCTCTCTGTTCACCTTTTCTTTAGATTTTATTGTTAGTAAACTTGTGTGCGGATTTTGAAAGTAATCTCATGAATATGTTCAGTCACTTGCTGCACATACGTTGTTTAATTATATTATTTCAAGTGATAAAATCCATAAGAGCCGTGATGAGGACTCGAACCTATGCGTGGGTGTTCCCAAGCACTCACGTGTCAATTTACTCATTGAAACATCACGTTAGTGTGATTACTATATCAAATAACATTGTTATTATTCATCAATGAAAATTCCGCTGTAGCGAATAACGTTGATTCCGTAATAGTCGTTCTGTGGGGGTTATTTGGGTAAGGTAATTATTCTGTCTTAAATCACTAATGGACTGTAACTAATGGCAATGTGTTGCACAAAACCCCACAGTTGGGGGGGGGGGGTTAATTATTTATTGATAAAATTAAAATAATTCAGTGCCCTCTAAATTTAGGTTCTATTTAATTTGACAGTTAAATTTACTTTGTTTATTTGTTAATAGGCACTGAATTATCTAAACTGTCGTTAGTAACAAGGTATTAAGTTTTAATTGGCTGAGGGAATCCGTAGGTCAGAACAAGCGCCACCAACCTGCTCTCTTACTGCCCAACCTACGTCTGAATTTGGCCGTTTGCCCATATGGCCGAAAATGGACGTAATTTGAAAATGAAAAAATAAAAATAAATTGAGGATTTTTTTTCCAAAACAGTAAGTTAAGGGTCCTCTGGTAGGTTAAGTGGGCTGGAAATTTAGCTAAATTTTCAAAACGTCATGAAAAAGTTTATTGAAAGTTAACTCTCCTAACCTTACCGAGTAAGACAGAGGATTCAAACAAAAAACCAGACAGTACATCACTTTTGTGTTCCAGCTGGCCCGACCACCAGGGTGTTTAGACGTGGTCGCCAAGCGCTCCCCAGTCATTCCGTGTGGGAGGGTGTTGTTGTTGCGTTGGCGCCATGGGGACCCCCTCCCCTCTATTCGCCGCTCTGATACCGTGGGTCTGGAGTTTTCTGGACGTGCTTCTTACCTAGCCCTTGAGATTGTCCTGTTGGATATGCTGCGTGTGCATGTTGCCGATGTGAACGGGCTCCAACTGTTGTCCACCCATCGGGCACTTGTTAAATTTAATTCCGCTGCTTTCTATAGAGACTATGTGGCCCGTTACGATGGGCGCTCCTTTCCTCTCCATGGGGATGGTGGTACCATCACTATCTCTGACCGGTGCTGCTCGGTGACGTATGTGGCCCTGCATGGTGTTTTGTTTGAAGTCACGGAGGCTTTGCTTCGATGGTATTTTGGCCAGTTTGGGACTGTCGTTTCCATCCAGATGAACTCCGTCTCGGTCGGCACATGGCGTGGTGTCTCGTGTGGGACCCAGACTCTCGGTCTGCGGCTCAAGTCTCCTGTTCCCCCAGCGGTGACCTTGATGGGCTACACTATGCGGGCGTTCTGCACAGGACAGCCTCAGCAATGTTTTCGTTGTGGCATTGAGGGGCATCTGGCAGCTGATTGCACTGGGGTCGCGGCTGCATCTATTAATTTGTTCCAGGACTAGGATTTTCCCCCGTTGGTGGCGTAGGACCTGCCGCCTCGTGATGGAGTAGGTGGGGAGGTTACCCTGCCGCCTGCTGACCCGGTGGTGGCTGTTGGCCAGGCGTGTGTGGACGGTGGTGTACACGACGAGGTGGTGGTGTGTGCGGCTCCGCCCCCGCAGTCTGTCTCGTCGCTTCCACCGGCTTCTGCACCTGTTTCCGACTCTGCGCCTCTGTTGCTTTCGACGTCTCTGCCGGCGCCCTCACCTGTGTTGGACCCTTCCCCTCCTGCGGCCGCGCCTGTTCCTTCTCCTGTCTCCTCTGTGGGTGGCGGTCTCGTCCCCTGTGTTGTTGAGGCTGACATTCTGCGGGGTCGTGCTACCCCGGTTGGGGGGCAGTCTACCGCTGGCTCTTCTCGGGTGCCTCCTGCAGGGGGTGACAGCTCCGATGATCAACGGCCTGTCCCCAAGCGTTCACGTATGGATGCGGGTGCTTCGCCTCCTCGTTGGTGGGCAGAGGAATGTGAGGATGCGGCGAGTGTCGATGTTTCTTCTGAGAGCTGTTCCTCTGTGGAGTGCGAGGATGGTGCGTCTGGTGCTGGTGTGGGTCCGGTGGATGGTGTGGGCCCTGGTGTGGCTCCTGCTGTTGGGGTGGGGGCCGGTGTGGGGCCGGTACCTCTTGCTTCGGGTGCGTCGCCCGCGTCGGATGGTTCCGGTTCCCCGTGGGGGGTGGTTCCCCCTTGCGGCGTTGAGAGTGGACGTGGTGACCTGGTGATGGTATTGAAGAAAGCTGCACGCTCTGAGGGTTCCGTGCCCCCTCCCCCGTCCCCTGTTTCGTCGGCGGCGGTTCTGCCGCCCCACACGTCTCCAGCCATTTCTTCTGTGTCTCCTGCTTTGTCGGGAGCGGTGTTGCCGCCTCGGCAGCCTCCGCCCGCTATTCCGGTGTCTCTTGCTTCCTCGGCGGCGGTGTTCCTGCCTCCCAAGTCGAGTTCTTCGTCTTCGGTGTACCGTGGTTGGGCGTGACCGCTTTCGCCGGATGTGGTGCTTCCCGAGTATATGGAGTACCCGCGGTGTCGTGAGGGCCGTTCACCTACCGAACTGGAGTACTTAATATGGGAGGCTTATAAGCGGAAGTATCCGTCGTGGAAGTTTCCTGAGAAATATCCTCTTTGTTGACTGTTGTGTGTTGTGGGGTTGCTTGCGCCTGGGTGCGTGGGTGTGGGGTGGGGTTGCATGTGTGTGTGTGGGTCGGGGGGGGTTTGTTTTCAGGTTCCTGCATGTTCTGTTTTTTCTTTTTCTGCTTATGGGTTGCTTGTGTGGGGTTTGCGTGTGCTTGTGTCTTTCTGTACATGTTCTGTGTGGTTGGGTGTGGTTTTATACTTCCAGCTCTGTGTGTAGTATGCGTGGCTGGTTGTGCTATTGTGCTGCTGTAGTGGTGTGTTTAGTGTGGTGGTGGTATTATATATTTTGTACTTGTGTTCTTACGGCCTTTTGGTCGTTGGCATGTTTTTTGTGCCTTTTGTTTGTTTTTTGTACTTACGGTTCCCTTTGTGGTTCTGTTTTCTGTTATTAATGCCTTGTGTCCTGTAATGCTTTTAGCTTGTCTTATGTGCCCGTGTTGGGGTTTGTTATATGCTTTGTATCATGTATATTTCTCTTTGATTATTCTTGTGTTTGGGTTCTTTGCCTGTTGTGTTCCTGTATCCTGTATTGTGTATCATGTATGTACTCATGTTTTCTTGTATGTGGTTTTTATGTTTGTATTTTGTAGTTTTCTTTTATAAATAAAAAAAAAAACTTTTGTTTTCCGATTTCAATTCAAATTACGTCCATTTTTGGCCATAGAGCGCATACGAGCATAAAGTGACGTTATTTTTAAGTGGACGGGTTCGGCTGATCACGCCGACCCGTAGTTAAGGCCCGACTAACAACTGCCGGAACATTATGCATTACTTCTTCAATAATTTATACAATGTATCAGTATCTAACGATCACGCGCATATTCAGTGGTTAGTTCCAAATTAAATCAACGAAAACCTCGTTTCTTACATTAAGTGTTGGTGTTCTGACCCTACGTGACCACACTCACTACCTAACAAAACTCAGACACATTGAAATGGTCAAATCACAGGTCAGATTGTTAGGTAACTTGTCTACTGTGAGGCGGAGAACAGCCACAACTGCCCAGCACGAAGCTATGCAGATTTTCGGCAGCCATATGAAGGGAATTTGTGTTAGGAACCAACGCGCCAGCTCTGCCGACCTGTGGTATATAAGCCGGTAATGGCGTCGAGAACCTCTCTTCCTCCCCGACTCCTGAGTCACAGAGAGAATTACATTGTTTATAAATTGAGGCCTCTAAATTATGATTATTTATAAATCGAATTAATTAAGAGAATTAATTTGTTGAATTATTAAAATATGATAATTTTTTTATCAACTAATATATTAGTGAGACGTAACTGGAACAACTGCAGTTCTACAATTGTCTCTGGTGGTGAGGGAGTCAGCTGACGCCGCCCCGACCTGAGAATGTGGCGGCGCTCTGCTACGCTCTTACTGAATGTGTATTATTGTGTACGGAACACGAATACTCGGAGGAATTTAATTTAATATCTAATGTTTACAAATTATTTATCATTTAAACAATCCACTTAACATTTAGAGGGGAAATTATTTCCTAAATTATTACCTTCCTTAATTGTGTAACTTTGTCCTTGTCTGATTACATCTTGTCTGTCCCTACCCTTCACCACCTTCCCTACCCTTCACCACCTTCCCTACCCTTCACCACCTTCCCTACCCTTCACCACCTTCCCTACCCTTCACCACCTTCCCTACCCTTCACCACCTTCCCTACCCTTCACCACCTTCCCTACCCTTCACCACCTTCCCTACCCTTCACCACCTTCCCTACCCTTCACCACCTTCCCTACCCTTCACCACCTTCCCTACCCTTCACCACCTTCCCTACCCTTCACCACCTTCCCTACCCTTCACCACCTTCCCTACCCTTCACCACCTTCCCTACCCTTCACCACCTTCCCTACCCTTCACCACCTTCCCTACCCTTCACCACCTTCCCTACCCTTCACCACCTTCCCTACCCTTCACCACCTTCCCTACCCTTCACCACCTTCCCTACCCTTCACCCTTCACCCTTCCCTACCCTTCACCACCTTCCCTACCCTTCACCACCTTCCCTACTTACCTTCACATTCCCTACCCTTCACTTCCCTACCCTTCACCACCCTCTTTTCCCTACCCTTCACCTCCTTCCCTACCCTTCACCACCTTCACTTCCCTTCACCATTCCCTACCTTCCCCACCTTCCCTACCCTTCACCACCTTCCCACCCCCTACCACTTCACCCTATAACCACCTTCCCTACCCTTCACCACCTTCCCTACCCTTCACCACCTTCCCCATCCTTCACCCTTCACCTTCCTACCCTTCACCACCTTCCCTACCCTCCACCACCTTCCCTACCCTTCACCACTTCCCTACCCTTCACCACCTTCCCTACTCTTCACCACCTTCCCTACCCTTCACCACCTTCCCTACCCTTCACCACCTTCCCTACCCTTCACCATCTTCTCCACCCTTCACCACCTTCAATCCATCTTCACCACCTTCCCTACCCTTCACCACCTTCCCTACCCTTCACCACCTTCCCTACCCTTCACCACCTTCCCAACCCTTCACCACCTTCCCTACCCTTCACCAACCTTCCCTACCATTCACCACCTTCCCTTACCTTCACCACCTTCCCTTACCTTCACCACCTTCCCTTACCTTCACCACCTTCCCTTACCTTCACCACCTTCCCTACCCTTCACCACCTTCCCTACCCTTCACCACCTTCCCTAACCTTCACCACCTTCCCTACCCTTCACTTCACCACCACCTTCCCACCTTCCCTTCACCCCCTTCACCACCTTCCCCACCCTTACCTTCACCACCTTCACCACCTTCACCTTCCACCCCTTCACCCTTCACCTTCACCACCTTCCCACCCCTTCACCACCTTCCCTACCCTCACCACCTTCCCTTACCTTCACCACCTTCCCTTACCTTCACCACCTTCCCTTACCTTCACCACCTTCCCTTACCTTCACCACCTTCCCTTACCTTCACCACCTTCCCTTACCTTCACCACCTTCCCTTACCTTCACCACCTTCCCTTACCTTCCCCCCTTCTTCCCTTACCCTTCACCACCTTCCCTTCCACTTCACCACCTTCCCAACCTTCACCTTTCCCACTTTTCTTACCCTTCACCACCTTCCCTTCCCTTCACCACCTTCCCACCCTCTTCACACCCTTCCCTACCCTTCACCACCTTCCCTACCCTTCACCACCTTCCCTACCCTTCACCACCTTCCCTACCCTTCACCACCTTCCCTACCCTTCACCACCTTTCTCACCCTTCAACACCTTCCCTACCCTTCACCACCTTCCCTACCCTTCACCACCATCCCTACCCTTCACCACCTTCCCTTCCCTTCACCATCTTCCCTACCCTTCACCACCTTTCCTACCCTTCACCACCTTCCCTACCCTCACCACCATTTCCCTTCCCTTCCTTTCACCATCTTCCCGTTAACCTTTCACCCTTCACCTTCCCTACCCTTCACCACCTTCCGTACCCTCACAACTTTCCCTTCCCCTTCACCACCTTCCCTACCCTTCACCATCTTCCCCACTCTTCACGACCTTCCCAGCCTTTAAACCACCTTCCAACCATTCACCACCCTCTCTACCCTTCACCACCTTCCCTACCCTCACACCACCTTCCCTACCCCTCACCACCTTTCACTACCTTTCACCACCTTCCCTTCCCTTCACCACCTTCCCTATCCTTCACCACCTTCCCTACCCTTCACACCATCTAATCATCCTTTCACCCTTCTATACCCTTCCCTTCCCCACCCACCACCTTCCCTACCCTTCACCACCTTCCCTAACCTTCACCACCCTTCCCTTCCCTTCACAACCTTCCCAACCCTTCACCACCACCTCCCTACCCTTCACAACCATCCTTACCCTTCACCACCACCCCTTCCTCTGCGGAGGGAGGGAACTCTGGGTAGAGCAGGGGGAGGGTTGTGGGTGGAGGGAACTCTGGGTGGTGCAGGAGAAGGGTTGTGGGTGGAGGGAACTCTGGGTGGTGCAGGGGGAGGGTGGTGGAGGGAACTCTGGGTGGTGCGGGGGGTGGGTTGTGGGTGGAGGGAACTCTGGGTGGTGCTGGGGTAGGGTTGTGGGTGGAGGGAACTCTGGGTGGTGCAGGGGGAGGGTTGTGGGTGGAGGGAACTCTGGGTGGTGCAGGAGAAGGGTTGTGGGTGGAGGGAACTCTGGGTGGTGCTG